ATGGCTAAGTGGCAGCAGGAGTGGGATGCAGCAGAGAACGGTAGATGGACACACAGGCTAATACCGACTCTTTCGACCTGGGTGAACAGGAAGCATGGAGAAGTCAACTTCCACTTGACGCAGTTCCTGTCTGGTCATGGCTGCTTCAGGAAGTACCTGCATCGGTTCGGACACACAACGTCACCCTTCTGTCCGGAGTGTGGGAATGTGGAAGAATCACCAGAGCACGTGGTCTTCGAATGTCCTAGATTTGATGATGTGCGAGAGGATATGCTCGCCCTTAGCACGGAGAATGTCGTCGAAGAAATGTGTCGAGAGGAGGGCACCTTTAACGCCGTCAGCAGAGCAGTAACGCAGATCATGTCAGCGCTGCAGCGAAAATGGCGGGAAGACCAACTAGAAAGTAGTAATGTGCTCACACAAGTGCGAACTGAAAGCCGAAGCCGGGAGAACTCTCCGTCAGAGTAGGCTGTATCCACCACCAGGGATAACCGAGTAGAACGTGACACTGGGAGATAAATGGCTCACAAATTGGAGAGACGATCAGCGAACTGGAAGCGCCAATTAGCTGAGGTAAAGTGAGGTGCGTAATGCACGGCCCCCTCCGAAGTAATACGACAAGTGGTTCCGGGGGAAAAGGGCAAGGCGTCTAAGGAGGTTTTAGTGCGGTAAGAATCCCACACACCGTGTCACCGCGACAGTGCGCCCAGTCGTCAAGCGGTGGCACGATGGCCTTTTTGAAGGTTTCCTCCTTGCCAAAAAAAAAAAAAAAAAAAAAAAAAAAAAAAAAACACACACACACACACACACACACACGCACGCGCACTCATCCAATTTCTATTTTTAGATCAAGACCCACACTGTGGTAAGTGATGCGATCGGTGTTAAAGAAGAATTTGGTTTTCATTAAAATCTAGTGGGTATAGAATAAGACAAAGTGAAAAACTGCAAGGAAGGGGACGGGCCTGGGATTGAACTCCCGACCTTCTGCTCAGTAAGCAGAAACGGTAACCACTGAGCTACCGAGCCTCGTCTATCAATCTGATTGATATTGCTATAATTAATAAATAAGGGTGGCAAAGGGGTCAGATACCCCTGCATTGTGTATGCCTTCTTCACAATTTTGACGTAGGACTACGTCTTTGATTTCTATATGGGGGTACACTTTGTGAAAATCGAAAATGGAACATGTAACAAATTAAGAAAGATTTTGAACGTTAATAACTCAGCTGCCCCTGGTCCACTTTCGATAATTTTATCACCAATCGAGCAGAAATATGGCTGCGCTTCGATAACAATGCTTCCCAATGTTGATTTTCAACAAGAAACTATTGAAAAACTGGTAAATATCCAGCATTGTCCAAAAGCGTCGAATTAACTAACAAATCCACCAATTACCTACATGCATATGCTGCTACCCCAGCACAGTCGTCAGAGAGTAGTAAGTAGACGAAACAAGTCGAAGTGGCATTCTCCTCCGATCCTCGGGCGCGTGCGAATAGGGAGGATGAAATTGCGTAATATTTTGCACACTCATCGCCATATTCAGAACCAAACGCAAATTCTTCGAGATAACCGCCATCCGCCGTCTGGCTCGCCGTGGCGGTGTCTAACGTATCTCCGGTCTGATTTACGAGGTGTGCTGAAGGTGTTCCTGAAGAATGAGATCCGTGATGCTGTCACCTACACTAAACACGTCAAACGTAAGCGGCCATGGATGTCATCTACGTTTTGAAGCAACAGAGACGCACTCTGTTAGGTTTCGGAGGTTAAATCATCACCAACTTTGGCTACAAAACGGCTCTTTTCAGGGCCACCAAGCTTATGACAGTAAAGAGTAGGAATATAATTCTGCCTGTTTGTCCATATTCAGAACCAACGATCACACAAAATGCTCATGTAATCAAACAAGAAGCAGGGGTACAAATTATTTTGATCATCCTTGATCAATTTTGAATCGCCACGGCCGGATATTTTCGATGGAAGAAGCAACAATCTAGCATCTAATTCGACGAAGACGGCAGGAAACATTTGTGAAGGCGAGTTATTTACGAAAGAGAGTGTCGATGAAGAGAATCGATAAATTTAGATAGGAACTATTAAAAAGTGACGCGAGATTTGTTTTCCGTACTGAGCTCCAATGCTACCGACGCAAGGGAGGCAGCTCCCGCACCTGGACCATACCTATCGACCCATCAACTCAACCGGGGACCAACGGCTTTACTTCCGGAAGGAAGGCGTGATCAGAGATGTTATGCCTTAGAACATGCCGGTGGCGCCGACTAAGATTGGACCCAGGCTTGCTGGGGTGAGAGGTAATCACGCTCACCACCGGCACCGATATCTTTCAAGGTGATATCACGGCGAATGAGAACGAACCAAATTTGAGTTTAGTTATTTCAGAATTAAGAAATAAAGTGCAGGAACTCAGCGATGAGTAAATTTGCCTCATGTTTTCTCAGGTTTTTCCAGGATTTTCCAGAGAAAAATTCCCGAATTTGAGAAGTAAAGATTGGATTCACTCAGTCTTTTGGTACTACTCCGAGACTGAATAAAATTTTCGTCAATTTCCTCATTTTCTGGCAGATTTTTTAGGTTTTCCACAGGAAACCATGAGACAAATTTACTCATCGCTGAGCTCCTGCACTTTTGGCGATTATGAATGGACTAAACTCAAATTTGGGTCGTTCTCATTCGCCGTGTACGCAAAAGGAAAAGAGCCTGTGTCGCTACTTGATAGCAAACTACTCATAATGGGAGGAGTCTTTGTAGCTTTTATACCACTTGGTAGCACATCATTCTGCTTTAACCTGAAAAGATATAAAAGAGCGCTGCTGTATGGCATTAGCTCATTTTCGCTTCGGACGGCGTGGTGAACAGCAATAGCAGTAGTAGGAAGTTGGTGGCTAGTCCACTCCTTCACACCTAACAGGCAACAATTGACTGGTCGTGGCAAAGGAGGTGCCAATCTTCATCGCAAATTCCCACAAGCCCCAACGACCATACAAAATGCTCTCCTGAGTTGTTATCTTTTAACCAAACCTGGAAGCAGTGGTGCAAGTGATTTTGATTGATTCTCTTAATCAACTTTCTCTTTGAAAAAAAATTACTTCAAATTTGGTACGCCTACTATTCAACAACAGAAAGAGTTGAGATAATAGATAATTGATCAATTAAAAGAACTAAATGCTCTTCACGTTTATTCCGTTCACTGAAAAGTTTAGCATCACCCAAAGAGAATGTGAGTACTTGGGGTCATGCTAAACTTTTCAAGGTGACACAACATTGAAATATGTTCACACGCTCTACACAGAAGATTAAAATAATTTATAAAAATAATTATCTCGGGTTTAAGAAAATTCCTGGAAATCAAAAAGTTTTGAGGATTTTCAACAATTCAACTTATAAACAATCGGACACAGTTAAAATCATTCTTGATTTATAATAACTCTTTGTAACACGACTTTCTAGTATGTTTTTCATACGGCGATTTTTTTGGCCGCAAGTTCTCTGAATGCTTTTAAATTTTGCCCACAGGTAGAATTTATAATCATATGAACAAAACGAAAATTCAAAAAATTGGGGCAGCCAATTCTCCCAGCACAATTAAGACAAAGCTTTTAAATTTTTCACGACATCATGTACGTTGAAAATACATAACTGAAATGTTTTATAGTAAAATGCTGGATCGATCGAACTATAGGAATCCGGTAAGAACGTACCCGTATTATAGGAACTTTGAAAATATCGCTACAAAAACATGCCCATGAACACACCTGGAGGTTCATCAGAACTAGGATAAGGATATTATTTAATATCGGAGTAGAACTATGAATCTTACCACTTATACCCAATCAACATAATTTCTCTATTGTCTTTTGTCTCTTATGACTCTGAACACGTGAATGACGTTGATAATGTAACGAAATTCATTTTTATATTATTCCATTCTACAAAAATGGATCCAATCTAATGCAGAACTAAGTATAACCCAATCATGATATATTGAAATCTACAATCAGCGAAAAAGGTAGTCCAACATTTCCGTTTCGTGACTGAACATAATTTGCCTTTCTGCAAAACAGCCTCCTAGCCGCATAGCTGGGCTCCCAGGGATCGGGTCCAATCGGGTGCTAAAATTAAATCCACGTGTCGAGGACAGATGGTGTCATCCCTGATTAACGGTAGCTCAAGCCTTCCCAGATGTGCAAAGCTGCTTCTCCCAGTCCAAGCTATTCGGTCCGCTTTCTGCTCAGCCAGCAAGGATGAAATATATACACATTTTACGGGTCCGAGCCATCTTCGCATAGTCCCGTCGTAAAATCAAGTACCGGAAGAGAAAGTGCGGATAGCGCCAAAAGGACGACGACGATGCTGAAGATGAATAATCTTAGGAGATGACTTCTTCTTTTTTGCACTTTGCTTCTTTCTAACATAGTCCAGTACCTGACCAGATTTCCGACCCCTTGCCAAGGCACTCCAAAGATGGGGTGCTTCCTGGGAGAATGGATCAAGAGGGGAAATAAATGAAGTTTCTTCTCCGAGTCTAAGATAAGCGGATTCGACTCAAAGTGGGCTAGGCAATAAAAGTTTATGCCTTAAAATTTATCTTTATTTTATTTTTCTCATCTGGGGCTGGTAAAGAAGGATACGGATGCAACGAGGAAGGCGTGTACGACTCGACCAACGAGGTAAAATTGATGTTTCAACGTTGCTGGCTGGAGAGCTTCGGACGACGAGGATGAGAACTTGTTGAGTTCTTGCATAAGAAGTGGCAGAGTTTGTGAAAAAGGTTGATAATGAGAAAAACAAGACAGTATTGGATATTGTTTCTCAACTAGCTTGCAGCTAATGAGGTTGAGATCGTTATAAAACCGTTTGTTGCGGAGAAAATGAAATAAGTTTAAATAGAATAAAAACACGAATGAAGCAAAAAACGAAACAAAAGATCGGAACTGAAAAAAAAAATCCGCGCGTTTACTAACAAAATACTTACTTACAGTGGCTGGTGTTGACATGGTGACACTGCAGGGGAGCACGGCGAGGCCCCCTCGTTGACTAACTACTCTACTGTTGTTTTTGGTGACGAATTGACTTTCGTGGTGGTGTGGCGAGCTCAGTGCGTTTCTATGCGACGATTTGGCTTCGTTGGACTCTGGAAGGAGAAAGAGTTAAACGAATATGTGAGAAATTTTTTTGAGCTGTGATCTGGAACATTATGGCCTTTTAGATCAATTACGCTCACGTTTGATATCTAGAAAGCGAGAAGAATCAGTTTTCTTTTTCGATTTAATTGCTTATCCTTGACAGTTACGCGTATTTCGTCAACAATGAGCAGACTTCTAGAATTTTTATTAAAACATTAAATTATATTTAAAAGCACAGCACACGCGTAAATACAATTGATTTAGCTCTAGATGATAAAAATTACGGCTTACACTAATGGAAAAAGTAACTGTTGCCAAGAGGTAAATCACTCAGTACATTGTGCCGAAATTAGATTCGGCACAGCTTTGACACATCCATCGATACACCTTCAGCACAATCTCGTAGCCATTAGATTGTTGTAAATAAAATGGGAGCAGTGCTGGACAACTGTCATTGAAGTTGTTCACAACATTACGTGCTGTTTGACTGTATATTCAGACACATCCTCTAATTGAATATACCAGAGGAACTCAGATCAGCAGTTCACTTCTCGGTTCACTTATAGATTTAAAAACGAAATGTAGGTTCTAGAGTGGGCTCAATCACGAGAAAGAGGCAGTTAATCAGACCCCACTTGTATCATTAATTCAAATAATGCTTGTAACGTGCCAGTGCGGTGTTACTCCCAGCACTAATAAGACCCCCGTCTCCAAGCCTCAGGGTCGGCACACGCTCGTGACAATTCCGCGGACCAAGAAAACACTTGCTCAAGACAAACTCCCACTTTATTCGCTTTTGTTAATTTTCATTTCCTTCTCACTTCACGGTCGGTCCAGACTCTGACGTATCCCAGTTCCTTAGTTGACTACTTCTACCTTGTGCTAGCGCTACTCTTCGTATTTTCTTTGGGCCCTTTCATCTGCCACTGCCGTCGTCGTCGTTCCTCTCCTTCCTCTGGTACCGCGTCACTTTCTTGGGCCAGGGGTGGACGCCTCTAACTGTCCCATACGCCCCTCGAGTATGGTGACGGACTCGAGGCTTCAACGAACTACAAGGGTAAGTTGGCTTGCCTGGATTGGCGGCGCACACTGTAGCTGTGGGATCAGGTAAACGATCTACGATTCGGACACGCTACCGGCAATTGACGTGGTTGACTCCGGAAAAATACGTTAAATAAGTAAACGTTACGGTAAAACCGCGAGGTCCTGTGGGCGCGATGGAGAATTTGAAATGGTGGTTATCGATTGACATGATATCACTAGGCAACGGTTTGATCTGGTTCGGGGGCTTTTTTGTGTAATGCTAATTACCAGGCTGTCCAATTGTACGTGGAAACTTCCTCTACAACTCATTTAAACTTTCAATTTAGTTCACTTTAATTTTCACAATCAAACTATAGATTTTTGCTATGTGTCCGTAGTCTTTAATGATCACCAGGCTTATGAATGTGCCTCTTGGTGAACGATGACCCCGAACCGTGACCGTTAAACCGTCGTACGTGCCACGAATTCTCCATGCAATGGCCCCCATTACACCACACCTATGGGCGTCCATTCATGACTGCACACAGCGTGCTCTGGTGGTGGCTAGTGGCATTGTTCTACAATTTATAGGGAAGTGTCTCCTACTGGCTGCGTTCGTGGGGATTCTGGGGGGTTTTACCTTTTACGAACATTTAATTTTTTTTCTTGGAATTTAATAACTGAATATACGAAAACTACACGCGATTAATCTCACCAATCTTGGACGCAACACTTATGTCGTTTTCGTTTTTGCGGTGTAGCTACACCGGTGCTACACTGCCGTACACCGAAATATTTTAGGGTGTAGATATTGGCAAATCAAAGTTGGCTCTCGTGGAGAATAGAAGAACTATGAAAGTGATGATGGTTTCAAAATTTTCCACGGGGAAGTATACGAGTGCAATCTTAAAATGCATTTATTTTGTGAATGGAGCATTTTATTTAAATCTGGTTAGTGCTACGTTAGTAGAAAACTTCAGGACTACTCAATAGACATATAATACAGAAAACATAATTTATTTTCAGATTTTTAGGTGTAAACATAGACTTTCGCTTTTCTACCACTGTAGCAGAAACCAGATTTAAATAAAATGCTCCATTTTCAAAATAAAAGCATTTTAAGATTGCACTCGTATACTTCCCCGTGGAAAATTTTGAAACCATCATCACTTTCAAAGTTCTTCTATTCTCCACGAGTGCCAACTTTGATTTGCCAATAGGATGCACCTTTGTTTACAAACAAATAATGTTGAGCTGTCAAAGACTCGCGCTTATTCCTGCTTACACTACACCAGTGCTACACCGCAAAAACGAAAACGACATTACACTTGTTACATGCTGCAACTCGCACAAAACAAACTACAGAAGTCATATTCAACATCTTCTATAGCCGGTCTCCAACAATGTTCCCACTCTTTCCGGCCGCTGATAGACCGATGCTTTTCACATCACAAAAGGCTAGGTTTCTAGTCTGGATTTGAGGGCATTATAAAACCCTAAAACACAGGACTTTTGCTATCCTATGAACACACAATTTCACACACCTGCCAGTTCCCGCGTCATCCTCTATCCAATTTATCCTTTCGATTTCAAACTAAAACATTCAAGGTGTCAGAAATACCGGGTTGCCGGGATGGGAATTTCACAAACAATCGCAGCTTGCTCTATGACCGGCACAATCGGCACACTGACAAAAAAGATGACGCAAGATTGGTGTGCGGAGTGACCTACCCCTTGGACTGTTGCACTAGTAATAATGTATAACAGTTCTTTAGATGTGCAAGCTTTTTCTTATGGCAAGCAAACAAAGTAAAAAAAAAAATACTGAAGGCTGGGGTGTAAACAAGTCATGTCCATATTATACCCAAGTAGCACAATTCTGTTCAAAAAAGTCGCTGCAACTTGTTTATAACTGAAATAAGACATATAGAAGATTTCAAGACCAATTTATAACAAGGGTGCTACAAGGGTATGTACGAAAATCTCTAGAAGTGATGGACTCGACAAATGAACTCGGTTAGATTCGGAGAGAGAGTAGTATTACAACTAAACAACCCAAGTAACACAAATTCATAGAATTATGTTGAGTAAACCTCTGTAAAATCAAAACAAGGTTAGATACATTGTTATAGATCACGTGTGATGGGAAAAGTTTGAAATTGGCGAATGCAATGCTAATGTACCGGAATATTCGAGAATAATTACAAATTATGTTATAAACTTACACCCTTAGATTACATCCATGTAGCAAACCGCATGATCCAGAAGAGTCAAGAATGCGAGTGCAGAGAAAACCTATTTATTTTTTATTTTTCAACCATTGTTCACCTCATCACAATGCGTTACTTTATTATCTTACATCTACTCTGCACACAATAGTTGAGGTAGAGAAGATGAGAAAGGCGCGAGTATCTTCTCTTTTCAAGTTTCTCAGATGACTGGGTTGATTGATTGATTTCTTTATTTTAGAGACTTTCAGCTGTTGGCTGGTTTGTCTCGGTCAGATGACTGGGTTCAAATCCAGGTGGAAACACTTCTGGCTTTTATAATCTGACTGATAATCTATCTTGATGAAGGGAGGCTGAGCCCCGCAGAGTAGAGATTGTTTTATTAATTTGTGTTGAAAAACCAGTTCATACCATATTTAGTGTTAACACTAATGTGTAATTTTGTAAACATCATTGTTAGAAATATTACATTTCCCAAGCAAAAGTTGTTGTAATTTTGATAACAGGAAGAAGATTTCTTGCATTCAACTTACTCCGGGATCTTAATTTAACCAACATGGAATATCTCGGGATCCTGGACATATAGAAGGTTACTGTCTTGGGCAAAGTAGTTCACCGGATCAAGACCTAAAGATTGGTGGACAGAAGTTTGGAATTTCCTCATCACGCGGCGCTAGTATGCATGCATTGATGATGCCCTTGTTTTTGTGATATCTTGAAATCCTTGCCATCTAGGAGGTTGTTTTCCTGGATGAAGTTGTTTAGTGGATCAAGACCTTATTGTTGGTGGACATAAGTTCAGAATTTTCTCACTACGCAGCTCTAGTGTGCATGAATTAGTGATGCCCTTATTTTTGTGATATCTGTGATATCTTGAAATCCTTGTCATCTAGAAAGTTTCTTTTCTCGGCGAAGTAGTTCAGTGAATCAAAACCTTATAGTTGGTGGACACTACGTGGCGCTAGTTTGCATGAATTAATAATGGCAAGGATTTCAAGAACTTTCATGAACAAGGAAATCACAAATTCAAGCACACTAGCGCCGCGTACTGAGAAAATTCCAAACAGACCCCAACCACTAAGTTTTGATCTACTGAACAACTTAACCCAAGACAGCAACTTTTTAGATGGCACGGATTTCAAGATATGGAATAAAAAAGGACATCAATAATACATGCACACTAGCGCCGCGTAGTGAGGAAATTTTGAACTTCTGTCCACCAACCATTAGGTTTTGATCTACTGAACAACTTTGCGCATGACAGCAACTTCCTAGATGGCAAGGATTTCAAGATATCACAAAAACAAGTAAATCACTAATACATGCACACTACCCAAGTAACATTTATCGCGGTTTTATAGCATTCTACAAGTCTAAATCATGGTCTACAGAACCCTCATAAAACCAAAATTGTTACTTGGGCAGCGCCGCGTAGTGATAAAATTCCAAACTTCTTTCCACCAACCATTAGTTCTTAATCTACTGAACAACTTTGCCAAAGACAGTAATCTTCTATGAATCCTGGATCGCGAGATATTCCATGTTGGTCCCTATTAGGTTAAATATCATATGCTACATGTACTCCATTTACGCGATTCCCTCGAAATCATTCGAGACCAACGTAAATGGAATTCGTGTAGACCGAATTCACGTTCTTCGGAGGGAGAGTGTACGCATGTACGCAAAAGTAACACATGAAATCATTTTGTGTATAAGGCTAGCAAGTTTTCATCAAAAACAATCAGTTATAAATGTGC